TCATCCCAAACTGAATAGCTCTGCCTTCCTCTCTACACGTTGGACTTTCCTGGTTTAGAAAGAACGTTTCTCATCACTAAAAAAAAAAAAAAAAAAAATCCAACCCTGCAAACTGCTAATAGAATCCAATGACCTTTTGTAATTTCCAGACACCTTATGTAAACAGATTACTAATAAACACCAAAAGGCATATGGTCTTGTGTTTCCTGATGCTGCTGTGATCCTAATGTGTAACTATAGTCAATTGCGTTTAGGGGTCTGTGATTAGTAAGATGGTATACACAGACAGCCAGCATTAGATTTGAAATTAGAATTTTCTGAACATATTCTTTCACTGCAGGGGTGGACACACAGGTAACGCAATTCTCGTTGGGTATGAAAACTGATGGCAGGAGAATTATTGAAAGTCTTCATGAAGTGGTAATTTAAGTTTGAATATTGTGACAGCAGGTGGAGCTAGTAGTAGGAGCTCTATTTCTATGCCACTGCAAGAGCAGCAAGATGCATAAAACTTAGATTAATATGTTTGCATTTCAGTGCTTTAGGAATAGCAAACTGTGATGCATTGATTTTGGAAAGTGATCATACTACCACAATGCGAGAGCCAAGTTGAATGAAAATATCACTATCCTTTTTAGAAAAGGGCCTTGCATTTGGTGATGTGTTGCCATGGGAAATTAAGCTGTTAGTGCATGTGTGTGAGGGGAAGGGAAAAGGGGGGGTATTCACACGGTTTAATATTACTCGATGATCTATGGATTATCAGCTACATTATTTTTTAATTTTTAAAGATATATGTATCTAAATATTTATTTTATTTTGTAGAAGAACTGGCATGTAGGCCAGAGGTGTGGGGGGTGAAAGGATTCACCGGAGACAGAGTGGGCAGCAGAATAGGCAGATCTACTGAAATATACTGCTGAGGGGAGCAGCGGGCGAGGCAGGAGGGGTCCACTGTGCCATGTTTGTGTTAGCTTCCTGGCTGGGGTTGAACATAGGCTAGAGTGGTGATAGTGCTGAGACTGAACCCCTAGGCCACCAGGATTATTAGCTTTAAAAATTAGGGTACAGTTGTCTTTCAGTAGCAATGGGAGACTGGTTCTAAGACCACAATCTGCAGATACTCAAGGGCTTTATATAAAACGGTGGGAATATTTGCACATAACCTACATACATCCTCCATGTATTTTCAACCTTCCTTATATTACTTATAATAGCTAAAACAGTGTAAATGCTATGCAAATAATTGTTATGCTACATTATTTAGGGAATAATGATTTTTTAAAAGCATTGTTCAGTACAGATTCAATGGTTGTAGCCAAGCTACATAGTGTTTTTGATGTGAGGTTGGTTGAGTCCATGAATGTGGAAACAGATTTGGAGGCCAACTGCATGTGGAAATCTTTGTACCTTCCTTTCAATTTTGTTGTAAGTGTGAAGTTGCTCTAAAAAAGAAAAATAGTTTTTAACAAGTTTAAAGAAAGGTATATGATCCTGTGGAAAAAATAGTGTCAAAAACTTGATTACACACATAGAGTTATTTGTGTTATTAGATTGTTTCTCTTTTTAAATGATAATAGACCCCCCCCCAAAAAAATGATAATAGACCCACTTATATTATCTCCTAAGAAAACCTAAGGTACATGCTTTTTATTCTGCATGATTATGAAATAAAAACCTGATACTTTGTACTCCAAAATTCTAATGGGTTTTCTGAATATGTGATTTTAAAGATATTACCATTCATGTATTTTTTTCCCTTGTGAATCACACATTGAACCATAGAATTGTGCTTTTTTTCCTTTATCATTTCCTTAAATCGGATGCAATGATAAGAACAAATATTGGGCAGGCACTTCCTTTCCCTCTGAATTTCATTTGTTTTTTTATTATAGCGTATGTATTAAGAAATTGGGATTTCTAAAAAGATGGTTTATTTTTCTGGCTATGTGAATTAAAAAGTAACCTATTTTTTAAGATTAGTTTACAGAGTTATAAGATCATTTAAAACACACTTTTTTTAAAGATTTATTTATTTATGCATCCAAGAGCTGGGGCACAGGCCAGAGATGTGGGGGGTGAGAGATTTCATCAGAGACGGAATGGGGAACAGAACAGGTAGACTGACTGAAATACATTGCTGAGGGTAGCAATGGGCTCAACAGGAGAGGTCTGCTGTGCCATGTGGCTTGCTCCCTGGCTGGCCAGGGATTGAACTCGTGCTGCAGAGGCTGTGGATTGCTTCCGAGTGTGGGGTTTAACCCCTTGTGCCACCAGGGAGGTCCTAAAACACGTTTTAATGCTTTTTTTTTTGCTGAAAACTAGAAAGAGCAACTTCTTAGTCTTTATTTATTTATTTATTTATTCAGCAAACATGCAACAAATGCCTGCTACATGCAAGGCATCAGTGCCAAAGCCTGGGAATAAAATTTTGAACCATATACAGTGGTCTCCCACAGGATGTTTCTGGCATACATGTAGCCAGATAGTTACCATAGGACCCAGCAGATTCAACGATGGTGTTATGAACAGAGGACCAGTCCTACAGAAACAGGACTCAGCTGGAAGAAACCATGGTAGCTTTCAAAAAGGAGGCTATGGAAAGAGATGTAAAAATTCACTAGGAGAAAAAGGACTAAGCACATTGCAGTCAACACTTCCAACACATGCAAAGGTAGGGAGGTATGAGAGGGCCTTGGGGGGAGCATCAGGAAATTGGCCAGGGAGGCCAGAAAGCTTGCCTGGGTAAGATCGTGAAGGCCTCATAGGACATGCCATGATCAGTGAATACATTATTCAAGAATTTCAGCTCATCTAGATGCTATTTAATTGATTAGCTTTGGGCATTCATGAAAGTAAAGTAATGGATTTGATCCTATGGGAACATGGCATGACTAGACCAATGTTAACCTCCGCCAGCGTTTTAAATATGGTCTTTGGTCACAAGGGGAATGAGAAGGGAGCTGCATCACTGCATACCCTTATCTACCATGGGGATGGGGATACATAAGCCAATTTGATACAATTCCATGCAATACCAAGCACTGTGGTGGGGGCTGGAGCTGCCCGGTGTCTGGAGCATACCCAGATGCCTTCCTCACTTGCTCCTAGTTGTCCCCAGAGTATTTACATAGAGAGCACTTAGCTTGTCCAAATTGTCATTCTTCATCTCACCCTCATCTTCCCCTCCAATCTGCTTCTAGTCCTTCTCCCCTCCTGAAGTGATTCCTCCAATGTCCTAATACTCAAGTCAGAAGCCAGGGGCAGTTCTTGACGCGCCTCCTTTCTCACCCATCACATGTGCCCCTTCATCTCTCCTGAAATAATTGCTGACCTACCCCAGTGCCCTACCCACTCCAGTGCCCTGCCAACCCCAGCTGTTGCCAATAGGCTCCTCACAGGTATCCCTGTGACACATTTGCTCCCCTCACCCCAGGTCTTTTTGTAAAGACAATAACCAAAAAATTTTTAGAGAATCTTAAGTCAAATCATGTCACTTCTCCAGTTCAAACTTTTTATTAACTTCCTGTTGCAACTTAAATGAAAATCCCGTGTGGCTCATGGGGCCTGTGTGTTTTGGCCTCTGCCCTCCTCACTATTTGTATTGCTGTCCTGCTCAGTACGTTCCAGCCATAATGGCCTTTTCTCATTTCTCCTCATCGCTGCCCCATGGCCTTGGCACATGCTGTTTCCATTGCCCAGAATGCTCTTCTTCCTGTGCCATAGCATAGTCTGCTGCTGACCTCACACCTTGCCCCTTCAGAGAGCTCTCACCTTTGTCAGTCTGCTCTGCAGGAGGACTCCCATGGCTTTTCCAAGCTCCGGTGTCCCCCTATTGCACAGGCCAGTTTGTGGTTGTGTTTACAGTTGAGCCTGTGTGGGGACCGCCTCCCACACTGCACAGTCACTCCCCAGGGACCGGGATCATGTGTGTTCTCTTTCCCCCTTGATTTCCAGAGCTTAACACAGTTCCTTGCACATGGTCCTAAAGGGCTATAAAAGAATCATGTAAGCACATGAAGCTAGACTGACTTTTAGTTTCTAAATCTTTAACTAAAAATAAGGAAAAGCATGGACGGCTGAGAAAATTATTTTCTATGATTTTTCAAAACCATCAAACCTACTTTAAGAAAGGCACACGCTCAGTATTAACCTCACCCAAAGGATGCAAGTTCTCCAAAATTAGCATGTGGTCGTTGTATGATTGGGGGCTATTTTTAAAACAGTGATGAGCCATTTTTAAGTGGAAATCTTGACTTATAAAAATCAACTGTTCTTTTTATACATGCAGGGTCCAGTTCACTAAAATGTTAAAATTCTTGGCTCTGTACTTTAAGCCTACCACAAAGATCACATTAGAATTCATTTTAATAGACATTGTAAGCACAGTATCCAATCTCATATGATCATGCTGGGCTCTTTTATTATGAGACTCACAGGAAGCAGCGCCTGAGGCTACAGAACAGTCATGGGGTGCACCCAAAACTGGGGATGGTGCCAGCTCTATTGTTGATGAAATATTCTCTCCACCTTTATCTGTGGTGAGCAATTGGTATTGACTTTTGAGAAACTACTTCTTTGCCCTTCTCTCCCAGTTGGAAAAAACCCCACCATATGACATCGGCTAGGAAAAAAAGGATCAAAGAAGCATAAGGAAAGAAAAATTATGAGACCTTGTTTAATAAGTCGTTCTGGACCAGTCTGTTAGGTCTGTTAGAAGGAAGAGTATTATACTTTTTCGAAGTCACCACTCCTTTTCCCCCTGATAAAGCTCAGTGAACACGGTAATAACACCTGGTATCGTTTTTGTTATTACTAGTGTTGGTCTATTTAGCATTTAGCAAAATGTCTTTTCAACTTTAAAGGTCTTTAGATACTGTTCACCGAAATTAGGAGTAAAAATTTGATGATGACATTTACCAATTTTCATTTGTGTTTTGCTTTTTCTTAAAGAGGAAAAAAGTCTTTGTTGACAAATTGTTTCCCACCCCAACTTTCAGGTATCTTACTGGAGGAGTTCTTAAACATTGTAAGGAAAAAGAAGGAAGCACAGCTATTTTGGAATGAAACAAGACACATCTTCTCAGCATTTGACAGGCACTGTAAGTGTCTTTTAAGCATTTTGATATAAAATATGCCATTGAGGAACTGGGAATGGGAAGATGCATTTAGTAAATCAGATAATCTGGAGATCATTTTACTGTTTTCATTAGCTATTATCTTAGATGTTAATGTGAACTTTTTTGTCTCTCACGATCTCCCATTCTCGACATTTACCTCGGATGAAATAATGCTTTAAGTTACCTAACTGTACTTAGGCCTTTCTGCCTTGTGGTGGGGATAGCAGAAGGACTGGCCATGTGGTACTATAGGACAAGTGTCACTGACGGAAGTGGGGAGACCCTGTGGTCATGGCCCCTGCTTGGAGGCATATGTGGCTGGAATGTGGCTGAAAAGAGTGTCTTCCTCCACACCATAGGCCACACGCAGGACAAAACGCCTCGGAGTCCCCACTCAGTGTCTTGGCTGCTGTTATAGTTTCCCTTCAACTATTAATATATCATCATTGTAAGTAAGCAAGGAAAGAGAAGTGGATTTTGAAGAAAAGACTGGTTGGCAGTTCACAAAGACTCAGAATTTAGCACCATTATTGTGCACTGCTTGTCCTTTCCTTGGGACTCAGAGAATCAGCAGTTGACAAGGCCTGGAATAGCCTTTAAGATGGGCTGGGATGGCACTGAGGCAGGGTGTGACTGCACTCTTCAGTTCTTGCAGGAAGACAGCCCCTGATCACCTTAGAGGTAAAACCAACTATAGACAACTGCTGCTCCTCTAATGACATAGTAGAGTTTCATGCACATATGATTGGCCAGAAATACACTTTATAAGGTTTATAGAAGTAAGTGCATGTCTTATATTTCATTTTCAAATAGATCGAGGATATTTAACTTTGGAGGATTTCCAAAAAGCGTTTGGGCTGGTGGCTCCCAGGTTACCAGAAAGGAGTGTTCTGGATGTATTCAGGTAAGACACCAAATCTTTGTGTGTACCCACCCTTTGATTTACCATTTGCTCTTACAAGTTTTCACTCTTAGGGAGAGCTCTTCTTTATCATGATTTGTCACTTAAGAACATTTTCATCTCACAGTATAATGTCATGATCCAGGTGAGAAATTTATAATTTGCTATTAATAATCCATCCACACCCTTGACAGTGGCCTTGAAAGTGGGTGGTGTGCTTGCACACCAGGGGTGAGAGAGGAAGAAGTAGAACTTCTTTGTATATTTATGTATTGGCTAAATAAAAAATGAAGCCTTATCAGTGTTCAACATGATGCTGGTGTCCTCCTGAGATCTGCATTCCATCAGATACACATTGCTTCTGGAGTTGTCGGGAGAGGAGAGTGGGGGTGACTTGAAGGTGGACTCCCTGTTCATTTGCTTTCAGAGTTGACCTGATGAAGATGATTTAAAGGTGGTTGTATGTAGATTTTTTAAAGTAATCCTGACAAAGGAGCAAGTGGCTTAAAAGCAGTTTCTATGAGGAAACTGTAGGTTGATGATAGTATGAATAGCACAGGCACATTTATTTATGTATACAAAAACTGGGGTACAGGCCAGAGGTGGGGGGGAGGTGAGAGGAGTCACCAGAGACAAAGTGGGGAACAGAACAGGCAGACTGATTGAAATACACTGCTGAGGGAAGCAGCGGGTGAAACAAGAGAGGTCTGCTGCGCCATGTGGGTATCTCCCTGGCCAGGGATTGAACTCTTGCCGCAGTAGCTGTGGATATCTTCATAGGTTGCATCTTAACCCCTTGCGCCACCAGGGAGGCTCTGTTGTAGCTGCTTTAATCCTCGACTTCTTCCTCTTGCTTTAATATGGTTGCTTCAGTTTTAGCCATCACATCTAAGTTCCTGCTAGACGGAGAAAGGACAAGATCTACCCCTCCTTTTAAAGCCCTCCATTATTTTTACTGACATCCAAGGACCAAAACTGGATCCCAAGGCCATGTGTATCAGGGGTGGGGCTGTTGGATCTTGGGCTGGAAAATATAGTCTTTGCACAGGGCCTCTGATAATTTCTGAAATTGAGGAAGAAGGGGGGAATGTATAGAAGGAGGGCATCTGGCAGTGTTCCTTTTTGGGATAAAAGTAAAGTAACACAGTCTGACATGAAGCCAGCCTTGCTCAGTAGAAGTCATCAAACAGATTATTCGAAATAAGGATTTGCACTCACTGCCATTAACTCACTCACTAACATTAACTGTCACTACCGTGAACAAATTTGCTGCATCCTCCACAAGCAGGTTAGTGGGCAAGCTATTGAAAGAGCAGAGAAACTAAAGGCAGGTGTCTCCAGAGTGCCAGAGGACTAGGTGGCTGATGCTTTGACAGCAAGTCATTTCAAGTATTGTAGCATCTTTCATACGCTTTGTGATGAGAGTGATGAATGTCAGTATGTTCCTGCTACACAGGCTGTTTGTTACTTCGTTTTCCTTTTACAAAGAGACAAGTGGCCAAACTTGCTGACCACTATGTGTGAAGAGGTCTTCGTAGATATAACCTCAGAAAATACACTTAAGCATAACCCTTCAAGGTGGAAGCAATGTGAACCATGAGTGAGATAGTAACTGCTTCTCAAAAGACCCCTGTGCAACAGGGAGAGCATTTTTGAAAATGGATGTTTAGAAATGTGATTGTGTTTTAAAACAGGATGGGTGCCAGCCACCTCTTAAAACGCCTCCCGTCCTCAGGCTTAATAAATTCGAAATAGAATGACCTAACCTGGTGGAAACAAACTGTGCCAAGTTTCAGTGGGTTTAGAATACAGTGTTAAAAAATATAAAAATTCAACAGCTTTAATAAGCTTTCAAGAGCAACTTATATCAGGAAAGAGAGGGAATTACAAGCTGATCTTCAGTTAGCGATAACAAAACAAAACCCAAAAAGCCCTAAACCTTTTCCTCGGTGGAGGATGGAATTAAAAACCAGGGGGCTCAGTGCCAGGTGGTGGTTTCCTGTTTAGATGCACACATCTTCATGCGGTGTCTCTTGACAGCCAACAAAACAGTTTGAAACAAACTGGACTTTAAAGTGCTCAGTCACCAAGGATTAAACTGAGGTTCAGAAATAATAAAGTACATTAAGTCCTGTTGTTCTTGTCAAATATCATTAATAATTTCTAGTGGCAGCGAAAAGTCACTTGCCACTAACAAAGGAAATATTTGTATTTTTAATTCATGACAATTTCTATATAATATCTTATAATGTACATCATATATTCATATAGTAGTACATATGCAAATAACCTATAAATAAACATATTCCTGTACCCACATATTTTATACTTCCTAGGACTGTATGATCAAAGCAGTTTGGAGACCACTGAAATATACAGCCAAGCAAGGAGTTTTAGTTAAACATGCCCTGTTTGAACTCTCATTTGTATTATTATTTATAGCACTACAATCCCTAAACCAGAATAAGCCAACCAAGCAACTCAGCAACAAAGCCAACCAAATAACCTAAACAACCAAAACAATTCAAAACAACAGAATTGGGGCATGAGGCCTCAAGGGATCATTTCATTTTATAACTTGATGGAAACCCACTGAGGTATCATTCATTCAATCTGAGGGCATTAGGAAAACAAAGTGAGATATCTTTATATGGCTATGAATTGCTGCCTAACTGTGGTGGTTTCATCGTGAATAAAAGCCATGTTGTTTTTACAGGAATACATTGTCAGGCTTTACAACACTCACATTGTATTTTCTGATCATAAGCTCTCCTGTTTTAGTCTTGGTTTTTAGAGTTAAATTCACTCAAAACTCACCTCCACACCTTGTTTCTGCCTATTTGAAATTTATCCTATAAGAAGCATATTCCCCCATATTGTCCATATTCAAAATTGTTTATCTGGGTCACTGTCCCTGGGGGAAAATATATAAAGGATCGAACATTAACATTTTGGAGTCACTCTTTTTCTTTGAGAATAGTGATTCTGCTTCTGATGGGCGTCCCAATAGAAGTTTTTGTTCACGTCTGTTTCCTTTGTTGCTTTCTTCTCCCTGTCTCTTAATGTGTCTTCAGCAATGTCCAGCCTCCTTTGTGTTGTGTCCAATGTGACATTTTTTTTCCCTCCTATACTTTCATTTATTCCTTGAGCTCTCTGTGCTGGTGTCTCATTTCCTTTTGTTATTTTGCTGTATCTTGTTGTTTTCTAGTATCTCTTCTAAACCTTCTAGATCTACATTCTACTCTTGTTTTATAGCGATGTAATGCTAGCAAGCACAGGACAAATGGATACAGGAGAGTTCTGGAGTCAGCGGATTTTTCAGTCTTTAATGCTCTCAGGGAAACAGGTAGGTACGGAGGCACACCAGGCAGGGAGGTTGACATGCAAGCAGGCAGGCACAGGACAGGTAGGGAGCACTGGGAGGCAGGCAAGCAACTGAATCTTCATGCTCTTTCTCTGGCATTCTCTTTCGCCCACTGTCTTGTGGTCTTGCCTCTTCTGTAGTCACACCGCTCATCCACCTTTTACTGCCACTGTCGCTGCTGCTTTTATCCCAGCCTCTAGGCTCAGGCGTGCACACTTACATATGTGTGTACACCCATACTCCAGGTGTCCACAATCAGGCACACATGCCCCACGCCCACGCTCCCAAGTACCTTCTGTATTAACATGATCAAGACCACAGGTGATAGCCACAGAGGCTAGTGGCACAAAAACCTGAAACAATTATTTTTGAGGCTTTATTTTTAATGGGTGATTGTTAATTATACTTTTTTCATATAAATTAAGGAAAGCAAGTTTTCTCCCAAGGAACCAGTTACTGTCTTAAACCAAGAGGTGCTATCTTATGTAAAAAACAAAAATTGGTGCTAATTTATCTTGTCTCTAAAGATAATGTTTAACATTTGGATTTCAGACTTTGAGACTCCTTTTAGTGCTTGACATTTACCACTTTTCTTCCTCTCCATGATATGTGCATTTGTGTAAATGACTGAGGCTATCAAAGATGGTGTCATTATTATTCCAAAGCTCTTAGGAAATTCTTTTCCTGAAGGTCTTTTTTTCCCCTCCCCACTGCAAAGGGCAGAAGTTCAAGAGGCAAGGGAATTTAAAAGTACTGTTGTTGCAGTGGGTGAGGCCCTCTAAGGTTAAAACTGAAAACATCTCTTTTCATACTTACGAGAACGTATTGCAAGTTTTGTAGAACTTATTGAAGAGTTGTACTCCTCTTTCCTCCTTTTTTTTATTCTTAAGCATTCAAAATCTTCAGTGCCTCTAAAGTAAAATTAAAACTGTTGGACCTGGCTCTGCAGCGTCTGGTCCTCATCCCAATCTCCTCTCTTCTTAGTCCCGAAGCCCATGTTTCTCTTGGCTTGGAGCTTGTGTCTATTTCATGGGCTGTGTCTATTTCATTTCCCTTACTGCCAGGGTCTTTCTTTCCCTCCTGTCCAGGTTAGACCTGTTTTTCAAGGTCCTGCTCAAGAGAGACTTGTTTCTTTATATCTAACAGTCTCATCTCCTTTCTCTATATTTTGTTAGTGCTTATGCTGGTGTATTTTTTTAATCGCTTACTTGATAAACAAAAACATTTTTTTTTAATCCATAAGACAGTCATAGCTCTTTGAGTATATGAACTTATCTCTAGCTTCCACTCTTCTAGCTGTCGCCTCATGCATTGTCATTACTTAACAAATTGTCGTTGGTCTATTGTCACTCACTCCAAATACCCAGTGATGGTAAAATTCTCACTTACAGTTTCCTTTATGGCTTAGTGTATTTCTTTTAAGCAACTACAGAGTACTTTAAAATGCAGTCAGGAGCTTTATAGCCACATGTGGCTCTACTTTTCATTTCTTTCTTTCTGCATGTGATTTTTATGAATTAATCTCCAGTGGCCTTTCTTTGCTTGATTTGGGGAGCATTTTCTTCTCCTGATTTAGTCTGAGCTGTCAAGAGCTGGCTAACGTTCCTTCTTGACGCTGCCTGCCATCAGCACCCCGCTG